CCAGGATGTCGTCGAGGTAGATAAGTACGAATCGATCCAGCATGTGTCGGAACTCCGTTGTCATAGCCGCTTGGAAAGTGGTCGAGGCATTCGTAAGGCCAAATGGCATAACCAGCCATTCGAAATGCCCATATCGCGTCTTAAACGCGGTCTTGTAGCGGTCCTCCTGCCGAATCTCGAGTTGGTGATATCCCGACTTGAGGTCAAGCTTCGAGAAGAACTTGGCGCCACCCAACCGTTCGAGAAGATCGTCGATGCGTGGAAGAGGGCAGACGTTTCTGACCGTTTGCGCGTTGAGCTTGCGATAATCGATGCACAACCGCAAATCCTTGTTCTTCTTCCGGACGAAGAGAACGGGAGCACCGTATGGCGAAGAGCTAGGCCGAATCCAACCTTTCTCCAGAAGGTCGTCGAGTTGTGCCCGGAGCACACTTAACTCTTCCTCGCTCATTCGGTAGATGCAACCACGCGGAGGTACAACCCCGTCCTCGAGAATGATCTCGTGGCGGGTGGGCCGATCCGATACTACTCCATGCGGGCCTTCGAACACGTCGCCGTAGGCGTCGAGAAGTTCGATGATGCGTGGGTCCAAAGACGAGTCCGTCGATGAAGCATCATGGGGCGGAAGGGCGTGGAGAAAACACACCCCCATCTCCTCGATGTCGTCTCTGATGATGGAAGCTTGCATCCTTGCGGCGGACACCACGTGGCAGCTAATCGAAGGGTGAGGACAAGCTACCATGCATGGGACTAGTACTCCGTTCCGATCACGAACGTAAACAGTGCGGCGATAGAAGTTCACCGGGTGATCCTCGCTTCGCAGCCATGACATGCCCAAGATCATGTCGAATTTGTAATATCGAAGGACACCGCCTCGCTTGCATGTGGGGCAAAGTACACAGGGAAGTCATCAATGCACCGGTCGATTGACTTGTGCGTGTGACCGTCTGCCAACGTGACTTGCGTAGGCTGGGACTTCCTCCAGACGCGTGGGCCAAGGGCGGCGCGTACCATAAAGTCCTGGCTCATGTAGTTGCGAAATGCTCCGCAATCGATCAAAGCGTTGCAGGTCGTCTCTCCAATCTGAATGCCTACATATAACAATGGTGCGTCGATGTCGTCGTACCGTTGTGTCCTGAACTCGCGGTCGATCTTCGCAATGTAATTGTGAAGGTCGACAACCTCTACTCCGGCGTCCATCAACGGAGTTGATACTGCAGTGTGCAAGTAATCCCGCAATTGTGCCATGAGCACCTTGCAATGCGGTTTCGGCAATCGACCGGACCGGGGAAAGGGCATCCATTGGAAGTCTGCCAACGTCAACGGGTCGAGCTCTTCAAGTCTTGACCATATCGTCGAATCCCCGGCTATAGATGACGACGAAGCTGCCGACTCGGTTGCCGATGGTAGTGAAACCGTGCATGCGGTAGATTGTTGCACGTGGAGCGGTTGGTCCAACGGTGGGACCAAGTGGACAGCATAGTCCTCGTAAGTGTACCGAGAACTTGCGACATTCGCATCCTCCCCAGATGTGTAGGAGGCCGCTAGCAAGGCGGCCGAATCTGGCGGAGTGAGAGGTGGAGTCGCCTCACCTCCCGCGTAACTCGGTTTCCCGAGTTGATACGAGGCCGAACATCCTCCTTGCCTTGATCCAGGCATTGGGAGGTCTTGTGCTTGGTGCTGTTGCACCAATAGCAGCAGCCGTAGCGGCCGCGCCACTTGTATTCCGTTTGGTCAAGTGAAACTTGACCCATGGTGCTGGCTGTCCGTTTCCGGCCGGCGATGCGGTTTTCGCCTTCCCGTTTCCTCGGGACTTGTTGTTGCTTCGCGGCTGGATAGCAGCCACCTGATCTCCCTCACGTGACGCTTGGGTGGCTGTCGGGTCTTCCACAATGTTGTCCGTTTGGACTGCAGCGACATGCTGCGGCCGCGGACCAGTTCTCACCTTCTCTWCATAGGTTGGCTGCCACGTTGACTTCTCGTGTGCAGCCGCCCTGTTTGTCTTGATGATCTCCCTCGCCTTGTTGATGATTTCGGCGAAGGTGTTGTACTGCTCGCAATCACCAGGCGCGAGGCTCGAAGCGGCGCATGACCGGTTGTAGAACCCCGGCGCAGATGCAAAAATGGCAAGTCCAGATCAGGCGTCGCCACGATCTTCTGCCAATCCGTGAGCCAATCACGTGTCGCTGTGTTTTCTTGAGCCATCGTGAAGATGCGGTTGATGGCGAGCATCAGGGCGTCGTCCACGATGAACCGCTTCTTCCATTCTTTTGTCAGATGTCGAAGACCTGGACGCCGTGGACGGTTGCCATATGGCAGAGCCAGATCTGGCATCCTCCCTTGGCGTTAAGGAACAGTGCGCCGATGAACAGATGCTCGGGGACCTCATGAATCCCCAACTCCATTGTGAATCCTTGCCACCAGACGACCGGGTCTTGATGTGTGTAACCATCAAACTTCTCGATTCGGAACGTCGGCATTTTATAATGCTTCGCCGTGCTCGTGCTGCGATCGGGGTTAGCCGACTCTTGTTGCTGCCTGATCTCGGTCTTCTGTGTCCAGCTGCTGGCTGATGGTGGCTGGCGCTGCGAAGGTGCTAATATCCAGATCGGGCGTCGCCACGATCTTCTGCCAATCCGTGAGCCAATCACGTGTCGCTGTGTTTCCTTGAGCCATCGTGAAGATGCGGTTGATGGCGAGCGTCGGGGCGTCGTCCACGATGAACCGCTTCTTCCATTCTTTTGTCAGATCCTCCCAGGAGACCTTCTTGTGTAGGTCGAAGACTTGGACGCCGTGGACGGTTGCCATATGGCTGAGCCAGATCTGGCATCCTCCCTTGGCGTTACGGAACAGTGCGCCGATGAACAGATGCTCGGGGACCTCATGAATCCCCAACTCCGTTGTGAATCCTTGCCACCAGACGACCGGGTCTTGATGTGTGTAACCATCAAACTTCTCGATCCAGAACGTCGACATTTTGTAATGCTTCGCCGTGTTGGTGCTGCGATCAGGGTCAGACGGCTGTTGTCGCTGCCTGATCTCGGTCTTCAGTGTCCAGCTGCTGGCTGATGGTGGCTGGCGCTGCGAAGGTGCTAATATCACCTAGCATTGCAACTACGTGATCGACGCGTTCCTCCAGTTGGCGGGCAGAGGGTGCACTGCTGGACTCGCCAGCCTCCGGTCTTGATGCAGTTTGCTCCAAGTCCTGTACACGGGAGTCAAGTGCCCGTGTTGCATCCTCGTGCTGAGCCTTGTGGTTCCGCATGGCCCGCTGGAGGTTCGCCAGCTCGGACTGCAGGTGGTTACAAGTGTAAACCAACCTAGTCACGAGTTTGGCCATGAATTCCTTGTGCTGCTCCTCCGGTGTCGCGTCGTCGTGCTCCTCGGATGGTTCAAAGTGCCAAAACTTGAGCTTTTCTATGCTAGTGGCCTCATGCCGCTATAACAGATCCTGGGCCTCCTTGCGGTGTGTCTGGGTATCTGCTTCAGCCTCGGCTTGAAGTCGCTGCTTCTCAGCTGTTGCCGACGCTTCAGCCTGTAGGCAGACAGCCTCGGCTGCCACCTCGCGCTGTTCCTCAGCCTCGATTAGTGCGAGCTGAGTCTGGAACCGATGTATGTACTCGGCAATGGACTCGTTGGCCAGTTGGCCTGGCATGCCCACAGCTGAGCCCGTCGTGGTGGCATGGCACTGCTAACGTGACACTGTGACGTGGCACTGCTAACATGGTATTGTTGCTGACGTGGCACTGTTGCTCACGTGGCACTGCTGATGTGGCACTGCTGACGTGGCACTGTTGCTGACGTGGCACTGCTGACATGGCACTGTACCAACCCGGAAATGCATGCAAAGGGGTGGGTGGGAGGGAAAACGCAGGTAGGTAACCAACCCCACAATAGTTTCCTCCCGGCACTGTACCAACCCAGAAATGCATGCAAAGGGGTGGGTGGGAGCTGTTAGGCCAACACTTCATCCACGGACTTGTCTTCGGACCCCCGGGTGGTGCGGTTGCTGGACGAGTTCGCCGACATCTTCGAGTCACCTACCGGTGTGGTGCCGGATCGGCCGATCTCTCACGAGATCATTCTTGAGGCCGGTGCCGTGCCTCCGAAAGGTTGCATCTATCGCATGAGCGAGGAGGAACTTGAGGCCCTCCGCGCACAACTCGACGATTTGTTGGCTAAGGGCTGGATCCGCCCTAGCGGCTCCCCATACGGAGCACCGGTTCTCTTCGTTCGGAAGAAGAACAAGGATCTACGATTGTGTATCGACTACCGCAAGCTCAACGCGCAAACCGTCAAGAACGCGGGGCCTCTTCCTCGCATCGGCGATCTTCTTGATCGACTCGGCGGCGCAAAGTATTTTTCTGAGTTGGATTTGAAATCGGGATATCATCAAATCTCGATCCGGCCGAACGATCGCTACAAGTCCGCGTTCAAGACGCGGTACGGGCATTTTGAATGGGTGGTCATGCCTTTTGGCCTCACCAACGCCCCGACGACCTTTCAAGCAGCAATGACCAATGAGTTTCGTGCAATGTTGGACCGGTTCGTGCTGGTCTACTTCGTCTATAGCCGGTCATTGGAGGATCATCTTGGGCATCTTCGACGAGTGTTGGAGACGCTCCGCCGCGCCAAGTACAAGGCCAACCGCGACAAGTGCGAATTTGTCCGGCAAGAGCTGGAATACTTGGGCCATTTCGTCACACCATCCAAGAGTGGTCGAAGCCTCGGAACGTCACGGATGTCCGCTATCGGACAAGATTCAAGCCATCCAAGAGTGGTCGGAGCCTGGGAACGTCACGGATGTCCGTTCATTCCTTGGCCTCGCCGGCTACTACCAGCGTTTTATCAAAGGCTACTCGAAGATCGCGGCCCACTTGACCAAGCTTCAATGCGACGATCGGCCGTTTGACTTTGGAGAGGAGGCGCGGGAATCATTCTTTGCTCTCAAAGCCGCGCTATTATCTGCGGAGGTCTTGCGGATATACGACCCGCTTTTGCCTACGCGCGTCACTACGGATGCGTCAGGCTATGGCATTGGTGCAGTCCTCGAGCAACATGATGGTGTGGACTGGCACCCGGTCGAGTATTTCAGCAAGAAAGTGCCCGTCGTGCATTCCATTGACGATGCACGCAAGGAGCTCCTCACCTTCGTCCACGCGCTCAAGCGATGGCGGCACTTCCTCCTTGGTCGAAGCCAATTTCGATGGGTAACGGACAACAATCCGTTGGTCTTYTACAAGACCCAAGACACCGTCAACAGCACCATCGCTCGATGGATGGCTTTCATCGACCAGTTCGACTTCTTTCCCGATCACATTCCCGGGAAGTCGTACCGTTTTGCGGATGCTCTTTCACGGCGTCCGGATCATTGTACCGCGGTCTACTCAACCTTCGAGATCGACGATGACCTGCGGAACAGCTTCATCCGTGGCTACCAAGCCGACCCTGAGTTTCGCGACAAGTACACGAATTGCTCCTCTCCTAATCCGACGCCTTCTCACTACCGGATCCAAGAGGGGTACTTGCTTGTCCACACGAGGGGGAAGGACCTTCTTTGCGTACCGAGTGATTCTCACTTACGTACACGGCTTCTTGGCGAGTTCCACGATGCTCCCGCCACCGGACACTTTGGAGTCAATCGCACGATTGGCCGACTTCGCCAGCGATTTTGGTGGCCCGTCCTTCTCGGCGACGTCACGCGCTATTGCGAGTCATGCGAGGTTTGCCAACGCTGCAAATCCTGCAACCATCGTCCGTACGGCGAGTCACGACCATTACCGGTCCCGTTGAGGCGAAGGGAAGCGATTGCCATGGACATTACCGGCCCGTTCCCCAAGCACAAGACCGGAGTGGATGGGATTCTCACGGTGGTCGACAGACTCACCAAGTTCGCCATGTTTTTGCCTTGTCGCTATCATGCCAAGGCACCGGAGTTGGACGAGGTTCTCTAGGCCGGTTGGATTCGAACCAAGGGTTACCCCAAGGAAATCGTCTGCGACCGCGACACTTGGTTCATGTCCGATTTTTGGTTGGCGCTCATCAAGCGATGGGGCTCATCTCTCAAGCCCGGTTCAGCTCACCACCCTCAGACCGATGGCTAGACGAAGAGGGCGCATCAGACCGCACAGATTCTCCTTCGCACTCTCAACCGGCCCGACCAGAAGGACTGGGTTGAGCGGCTGCCGGATGTCGAGTTGGCCTACAACTCCTCTATCCACCCGGCTATCAATATGTCGCCGTTTGAGTTTGAGCACGGCTCGCCGGTCACTTCACCGTTGGACACTATTACTCCACGAACAGCCGAGAGCGACGACGATCTTCTTTTCTTGCGACGGATGCAAGAGCTTCTTGTCAAGGCACGCGACCGGATGGCCAAGACGCAGCAGCGCATGAGCCAGCAGGCCAATCGCCAGCGTCTTCCTTGCCCATTCCGTGTCGGCGACCTTGTTCGGGTTTCCTCAGCGGAGTTCAGCCTTGAACAAGACATCTCTCGCAAGTTCCTTCCGAAATGGATGGGGCCTTGGCCGATCACAACACCCGCTGGAGATGGACCTGAAGGACCTTCCTTCATCATTCAGGTGCTCGCCCATTTGCCCGTCAACCCGGTCTTCCATTCCTCCAAGCTGGATCTCTACACGCCAGCAGACCATGACGATTTTCTCTGGCGACGATCGCAAGACCCACCCTCTATGGATGGTTTCCAAGAGGTCAGCGACATTCTCTCTCAGCGCCGTTACGGCAACCGTCCGACCGAATATCTGGTCCATTTTGCACACTGCAGCCACAGAGCTGACCGTTGGTTGACCCGTGCAGATCTCCAAGCAACAGCTCCGGACATTCTGGCACGATATGAACGTAAGATGCAGGGCAAGCCGGTCTCTTCGGCTCCACGCCGCGCCCGCGTCCTGGTTCCACCTTCAGATCGTCAGCTTCGCCCTCGCCCCAGCATGATTTCATAAGGAGGCGGGGGTGTTACATGTTGCGCCTGCAACAGGCTGCACGGGCCATTTTCAGGCCCTGAAAGCTTGAAAACGAAGGCTTACATGCCCCGTGTCAGTTTGAACCTGAAAGCCTGAAAACCAGGGCCTACAGGCCCCGTGTCTGTTTTCAGCCTGAAAGCCTGAAAACCAGGGCCTACAGGCCCCGTGTCTGTTTTCAGCCTGACAACCTGAAAACCAGGGCCTACAGACCCCGTGTCGTTTCAACCTGACAGCCTGAAAACAAGGGCCTATAGGCCCTCATGCTTTAGCCAGAAGCTACCTGGAAACTTCCCGGAAGCGTCCTCAGGCTTTAGCCAGAAGCTACCTGGAAACTTTCGGAAGTTTCCTCAGGGTCTAGCACGTTTGGGCATTGGCAAGGGCAGCCTCCTAGACGGGCCAGCACTATATAAGACTGGCCCGCCCTACAGGCAGGCAGGTAGTTCATAGGGACTGGCCAGGCACTTCATGTGCAGTCCAGGCAGGCAGGAGGGAGTTGTAGTCTTCAGGATTCGGGAGCAACACTCTGGAGGAAGCGCTGCAAGGAGTAGTAGTAGCGTTAGCCTTTAGTCTTCAGCGCTGGGCGCAATAGGTAGTTGTAGTCTCCAGCGTTGGGCGCCATAGCTAGGATAGCACTAGAGAGAGAGAGAGAGATTGGGCGGAGGCCCTGGGTACTCACCTGCAGCGCCGTTGCTCCAGCTTCGTCTTCGAGGTACCTGCAGCACAGCGCCAACATCACAGGTTAGTATCTGGCTCGTAACAGAGAGAGAGAGAGAGAGAGTTCTTCTTCTTCCTCTTCTCGGTCCACCATCTCCTTCTCCCCTTCTCATCATCTGACTTCACTGCATCTGCAGACTACGAGAGAAGAGAGACAGAGCTTGGTGACATCGGATCCAGACTCGACTTTTGGACTTCAGACATTACAACGAGGGATTATTTGGGACTTGTGACAAAAACTTGGTGTTGACGACATTCCCATCTCTCTCCCTCCTTTCGTCTGATCCTTACCTCTTCGTCTGTGTATGTCTGGACCTGGCGCTTTCTTCCTGTGTACAGCGCCCGGCTCCTTCACACTTGGTGATGGATACGATGTATGTTTGGTTTGCATTCAAACATTGATTGGGCTAAGTCATTAGCATTCTAGCATTCTGCTTCGCTATCTTTTGCTACGTGAATGAGGTGAGTCCCGGTCAGGTCAGGACTTGTATCTAAATCTTCCACTGCGCTATTCAGCACCATTTTGCATGTATGAGAATGCACATTGCTCGTTGAGATTATACTTGCACTGCATTGTCCATTCAGTCCTTTTTATCACATTGCGGATCCTCGGTTATGATGTACATTGCTCATCTGAGCATGTAACACATACACAGACGAAGAAGAGGGGAAGATGGGAATGTCATCAACACCAAGTCTTCGGCACAGGCCCAAATAGTCCCTCGTCAAAATGTCTAAATCCCAATAGAAGTCTGGATCCAATGTCGTCAAGTCTCAAGTCACCACTCTCTCTCTCTCTCTGTCGTAGTCCGCTGATACTGAGAAGACAGGTGATGAGAGGGGAAGAAGAGATGGTGGACTCAGAAGAGGAAGAAGAAGAACTCTCTCTCTCTCTCTCAGTCCGGTACTAACCTGTGAAGTTGGCGCCTTGATGCAGGTACCTCGAAGATGGAGCTGGAGCTATGGCGCCATAGGTAAGTCTCACTGGCCTCCGCCAGCCATCTCTCCCCAACACTACTACTACCACCTACTAGCGCCCAGCGCTGAAGACTACTGCTATGGCTACTAGCGCCCAGCGCTGAATACTGCTAGCGCTAAGCTACTCCTGCAGCGCTCCTCCTGAGTGCTGCGGCCGAATCCTGAAGACTACTCCTGCCTTCTGTCCAACTACCTACCCG